GGTGCTCCTTGATGAGGATCAGAGACTTCTGTACTGCGATGTGATGCTGGAAGTTTTTGTACTTGTCTCATCTGTAGGTAAGATGTTCACATTGTCTCAGTGTCATGAGGTGATGTCCTTTCTTCCTTTATTCTCAAAACATAGCTTGCTCTCTCCCATAGTCAGACCACGAGTTCTGCTAATTTCTGCCACTGTCTTGTCAAATGTGCTGTGGCTTCCCGTGCTCAGCTGTGTGGAGACCCCTGACCAATGGACTCCACGAACATCCCTAATACCCGTTGTCTCAAAAAGTGCAGAAAGTGTCTGGGAATCGAGAGTCTTACAGTCAGATTAATGGCTCCCACCTTACTCTTCCTCTCCCTGGGAGGGTGACAATATCCACATTTATTCACTTCTTCCCCCTTCCTCTAGGGAAAGGTGCTTTATGACAGCCTGTGCCAGGTTATGTTCTTCACTTACATGAGCCATGGGCTATTCTTTTAAAACCCTTCAACTGTTGTTTGTAATATTACCTTAGCTGAGTACTATTGTGGGCCCAGTTGCTCTGAGCCAGAGCTGGCTGCTCTCCTCCGTTGTCTTTCATTAATACTTGGAATAGTTAGGGTTTATGCATCGGTAGAGTAGAAGATAAGGGAGAAGCCTGGTTTCCTCGCAGGGTGAACACGCAAGAGGTTCTCAGAGGAGGTCTGGCCCTGCTGAGTGACAGCTGGGGGAAGGTATGACGTAATTGTGGTGGTCAGATGATAACAGGAACCAGCTAATATCCAACCGGGTTGAGGGGCAGGTACCACTTGCTACCCCCCATTTCTACCTTCTCTTTCCCATACTTGACGCTTTGCTGACTTGCATTTCATCTGTGACTTCCTGGCTTTTGGCACCTTCACCTTTGTTACCCTTTTGCATCACCTGTCCACCTGTCCCTCGGCACTGCTCCCTGTGCAGTATTCTCCTACATGGACCTGCACATGTGTTATGAGGTGCACATGTTTAAGTAGTACTCGAACCCCTGCTACTTATTGAATTTTATTTGGAAGAAGACATAACCATCCTAAGGCACAGCTTTCCCCTCTCATCAGCAGACCAAACCTGCTCAATACTGTTAGCAGAGGAATCAGCTGCAGATGCATCTTCTCTTCCACCTGGTCCTTGCCATGTGTCTGTCATGGTTCTGGTGAGGTCTTCCCTGTTTTGTGACCTTCAGAGTCCCAGACCTTCACAGCAGCTTCTTATATTCTTCCTGCACATTTCTTATTTTCTGACAATTGCATAGAACCATGTATTATGTGCAAATTACTTTAGCAATGGAACTTCCCCCGTCACCACAGTCAACATTCAGTTTCTGCTCATTTCTCTCTTTTCAGGTTGCTGGCATAAAACAGATGATGAGGAGGCCTGTTCTGAGCAGAGTGAATGTGTACAAGGAGAGTCACAGGTCAGGGCTTCTGAGACAGAGCCTGAAACCCAAGGGACCCATGTGTGTAAGCGGTGTTTCTCAGTGTTCAAAGATATTCTGCACCTGACTGAGTCACAAGCAGCAGACTTTGAGCAGAAAGCCTTCTTCAGTGATGCATGTGTGAGAGACTTCTGTTTCAGTGCAAACCCGCACCTGCAACAGAGGGATGGCCCTGGAGAGAAGCCCTGGAAAGAAGCTGTGGACAGCGCCTCGTTTGTGACCAGGTGCAGCTTCTCATCTTGGGTGCCTTCAACCAATAGAAAGGTTGGGAAAGTCTTCCCAGACATCTCAGAGCTTCTGCAGCACCAGTCCCCTCTCAACACTGAGGAGCCACACAGTGGCAGTGAGATTTCACAGGAATTTGTCAGTGGTAAAAGTCTTCAGCAGACTTGCAACTGTGAAATATTTGGCGGCCAAAATGAGAAAC